ACAAGTATTGCTCATATATAAAGAAATATTATTTGAAAGTTTTTTTTCGGATCGGTTCATAATTGGTCATAGCTCCCATACAAGGTCCCCTCCCGAAAATCACTTAAACGCACATAACTCATAAGTTAATGAAGATATCCATATAAAATTTGGTACAAGTATTGCTTATATGCACAGAAATGTTACTGTGAAAATGTTTTCCTATCGGTCCATAATTGATCATAGCTCCCAACAAGGTCCCTTTCAAAAAAACACTTAAAGGCACATAGCTTATTGCCTAATAGTGATGCCCATAAAATATTTGGCATAAATACTATTTTTGTTCACATAAATGTTATTTCAAAATTTTTTCACGATCGGTCCAACCTTGGTCATAGCTCTCACACAAGGTTTCCTCCCGAAAATCACTTAAACGCACATAACTCATTACCAAATATTAGTATCCATACATTTAGCAAAAATGTTGATCTTATATACATAAATTATACTATAAAATTGTTTTACGATCGGTCCATATTTGGTCATAGCTCTCATACTAGGTCCCTTCCAGAAAATCACTTAAATGCACAATATTCATTACCAAAAATGATATAGATACAGAATTTTGAAATTTTCTTTATATACATAATTGGTCATAGCTCCCATACAAGGTCCTTTTACGAAAATCTCTTAAACGCACATTACTCATTACCAAATAAAGCTATTGATACAAAATTTGGCACAAATATTAGTTTTGTATACAAAAATTCTATTTCAAGATATTTTCACGATCGGTTCATAACATGGGTGCGGTCGGTCCCATACAAGTTTTCCTTCAGAAAATCACTTAAACACTCATAACTTATTACAAAATTACGATATAGATACAAAATTTGACTGAAATATAGCTTTTATGTACAGAAATTTTGCTTAAAGATTTTTTTTTGTGATCGGTCTATAATTGGTCATATCTCCAATACAAGTTGCAATATGAATTTGTGTAGAACAAAATTATATATATATGTATTTTGAAAATCCTGAAATCTTTCACACACACGCATACATGCAAATTACTAAATATCGCTAAGCACGATTAAAATGTAAAGAAAATGGCGTTTGTAATGTTCAATAAATCTTGGAATTGTAATAGATTTAAGCTGTTTAAATTTGGGATTTTTTCTATTTAAGACATGAGAAAACTTATTTCTACATATATTTGATCAATTAGAAAAGTATTAATATAAAAGTAGCTGGTGGAGGGTATTTAAGATTCGGCTCAGCCGAATATAGCACTCTAACTTGTTTCATAATTCTTTTGAAGTTTTCTCAGAAACTACCAAAGATATTTCGATGAATTTTGTCATACATTATCTTTTCAGGGTATAGATCAATTATATTCAAAATCTTTACAATCGATCCAATATTTCCCATAGCCCCCATACAAAGTTATATATTCCCGGAAATTAGTTTATCGTTAATAACTCCCTCAAATATATGGGTATCAACACGAAATTTTGTACATGTAAATATAATATGAACAGAAATTATACTGTCAACGTAGATCTCAGTCGGTCCACAATTGGTCATAGCTTCCATATAAGGTCCACTTCCGAAAATCACCTAAACGCACATATTTCATTGATGAATAAAGCTATTGTGATAAAATTCAAGTTGAATATGTTTTGTGTACATACAAATCATTCTACCAAATTTTTTACGGATCGGTCCATTATTGGTCATAGCTCCCATATAAGGCCCACTTCCGAAAATCATTTAAAAGCTCATATTTCATTGTCAACTAAAGCTATTTTGATGAAATTCGACACAAATATGTTTAGTCAAAATATAAAACACTCTACGAAATTTTTTCCGGATAGGTCCATAGTTGGTCATAGCTCCCACATAAGGTCCACTTCCGAAAATCACTTAAACGCATATATTTCATTGAATTATAAAGCTATCGGGATAAAATTCGACAGAAATCTGTTTTGTATACATACAAATCATTCTACAAAATGTTTTACGGATCGGTCCATAATTGGTCATAGATCCCATATAAGGCCCACTTCCGAAAATCACTTAAAAGCACATATTTCAATGCCAAGTAAAGCTATATTGATAAAATTCGACACAAATATGTTTTACCTAAACATTAATCATTCTACGAATTTTTTTCCGGATAGGCCCATAATTGGTCATAGCTCCCATATAAGGTCCACTTCCGAAAATCACTTAAACGCATATATTTCATTGAATTCTAAAGCTATTGGGATAATATTCGACTTGAATATGTTTTGTGTACGTACAAATCATTTTATAAATTTTTTACTGGTCGGTCCATTTTTGCTCATAACTCCCATATAAGGTCCACTTACGAAAATCACTTAAAAGCACATATTTCATTATCAAATAAAGTTATCTTGATAAAATTCGACACAAACACGTTTTGTCCAAAGATGAATTACTCTACGAAATGTTTCCCGAATAGGCCCATAATTGGTCATAGTTCCCTTATAAGGTCCACTTCCTAAAATCACTTATACGCATATATTTCATTGAATTCTAAAGCTATAGAATTCGACTTGAATAAGTTTTGTGTACATATGAATCATTCTACCACTTTTTTCTCGGATCGGTCCATTATTGGTCATAGCTTCCATATAAGGTCCACTTCTGAGAGTCACTTAAACACACATATTTTATTGTCAAATAAAGTTAATTTGAGAAAATTCGACATAAATATGTTTTGTCTTTACATAAATCACTCTACGAATTTTTTTGCGGATAGGCATATAAAACATTGTACCAAATTTTTTCTGGATGGGTCCATATTTGGTAATAGGTCCACTTCAAAAAATCCCTTAAATGCACATATTTAATTATCAAATAAAGATATCTTGATAAAATATGATTTGTGCACATATGAGTCACTCTGCGAAATTTTTCCGGATAGGCCCTTAATTGCTCATAGCTCCTATATAAAGTCCACTTCCTAAAGTCACCTAAACTCACATATTTCATTGATTAATAAAGCTATTGAAGTAGAATTAGACTTGATCTTTTTCTGCATAAAAATCATTATACTAAATTGTTTCCTGATCAGTCCATAATTGGTCACAACTCCCATATTCTGTGTATAGCTACATCATTCTATTAAAATATTTTCGAACTGTCGTATTAGTATACATTTTTTTGGACCTAATCAAAATTAGTTCGACAAAAATTTTGGCAAGTTATCTAAAAATTAGATAGTTAGATGGGTTTCAATAAAAAGTAGCTGGTGGAGGGTATTTAAGATTCGGCATAGCCGAATATAGCACTCTAACTTGTTTTTCTTTTACTATTTTTTGTTTTGACCAAATAACCATGAACTTTAAGCACTTAATTTTTTAAAAATTTACAGTAAAATATTATTGAACAAATATTTTAGTTAATGCTTAAGTTTTAAGAAGCATTTAACAAAGCAAAAGAGATTTCAATCGTTTAGGTCATTAGTGAGTCAATAAGAACATAACTTCAAATTGTGATAGCGAGGGGCTTATTGCAATAATTACTACCTTCCCTACAAGAACAGTGACAGTCATTTGATAGGTCATTTGACTGGCACTACTGATGTATTATTTCTATCACAGCGTAAAGCAAAGTTTCTATCAGTTTCTTAAGGCAATTGGACAAAAGTGATGGAAACATTTGTGTACATGTGATTTTTCTTCTCCCTTGCACTTATGAATTCTATCGACTTTAAAACATATATTTGAACTCCTCACTCTTTTGTTGTTTACTAACCAAGGATGGCATAAATATTAGTCAGGATTGACTGATCATGCTTGATGGATATATCTATCACAGTTAACAAATTAAAAATTATGTATTTATCGGTCATTGTTGACTAATCATATGTGATGAATATATTCGTCAAATGTGACGGCTATACCAATTTATAATAAAACACAACTTATTAATATTTTAAGATATATATTTGTTAATTTTATTAATATAATAAGCATGTACATAAATTAACAATCATTTCACCATTTTACATATCTCGCAGGATCTTAAATCCGCTGATGCTCCTTTTAATTTGTGGAAATAAGTTGTCTGTAAGAAATACATATAAATATCGAAATATAAAAATTAAAAGTAAGTAATCATGTTACCATAGATTGATTAAACTCCGAAGTGTTTATCTTCAGCTCCACTTCCTGCACTATTTTTAAATTCTGTTTATAATAATTCTCTTTTTTTTAATTTTTTATAGACTTTGTAAATTTTTAAATTTTTCGCTTCTTGATCTTTGGCTTTTACAGAAATAATTAATTTATAACGTCGAAAAATATAACTCTAAAACACAGTAACATTCAAATGTAGTTGTTTCACTCTTTCATATGCAAATGAAACCCTTTACCACACTTTGGGTACATCAACAGTGATTTTACCGGTCATTTGACTGTCATTATTGATGGAATTATCCATTAACTATTTTTTTTTTAGCAATTTTATAAAAAAAAATGTTGCAAGAGTGTTAGTGAAATCATTTTGTATGTGTTAGTTTCGGTCATACATTTCTTGTAGGGTTATAAGGGTCTTAAGATTTCTAATTTAATACTTTAACTAACTATTGCATCCACGAATATGCAATTCTAAATAATTAAAGGAAGCAATTTTTTTTACCAGCTTTTTCTACCCAACGATGCCATTATGGAAATAAAAAGTTTTTAAAGAAACTACACAATTGGTTCATAATTGGGTCTACTCCTCATATAAAGTCCTCTTCATAAAATAATTTTAAAACACCTAACTTGCTTCAAAATGCCAGTATAGCAATGCAATTCGTCATAAATAAGTTTTATTGAAACTAAACAGTCATACCCTAACGCCCAAAACTGTCTTAGAAATGCCAGTTGTTGTTCAGATCTTAACTCACTTGGGACATTTTTTTAAATTTTTGGGAAAAAGGTTTTATTTAGAAAAATATATGGCTTCTTATTTATTTACATAGATAACGAAAAAAAAACACTTGATTAAAGATCAACATGTTGTTCCTTGGAATGATAAAATGAAGTTTCTAAAGTAACAGGAATCTCATTTAAATTGAAGGGTTCCGTTTTGGCTAACAGTTTACGATTCTTGGAACTATAATCCAAATCAATAAGATTTTCATGTACATGATTTTCCTTAGCTAACAGCTGATGGTCCTCAGCGCCAATCCATTCACTGTAGACTTCAATTGGATCAATTTGCCAAAATTTGTGAAACGAAACTGGCGGTTCTAGCTGCAGTAACTCCAAGGGATAGTCATTAGGGCGAGCCTTTAATGGATAGAAAATAAAACATGTATAGTTATTATTTGAGAAAAATTAAAGTTTAATAAAATATTAATGAACGAATGCAAATTTAAACTTACCTGATGAAACCTTGACGAGTGCAAAGCTTTCAATTGAAGTGAATGCAAACAAGAGCCCAAAATCATATCATCAGGCGCCGTAGCTGAAGGACACGAACAATGCTGCAAAATAAGTTTAACCACTGGCAATGAGAAGGTAATGCCACCACCACCCGTAATATAATTGAAACCATCTTCAGCATATGAACTATAGCCGTAGCGTTCACCCAAATAAATTTCCTCCATTGAATTGTAACAACCAAGTACTTGGCAAACACCTGAAATGCTAACGTAAACCAGAAAAGAGAAAAAAATACATTATGATGGCGAAACATTTTTAATGTTTAATGATGTTTGTATATGAAAATTTTCTATCATTGAAAGAAGTGATAAAGAAATAAGACTGGCAATCGCTGAAATATTGATGGCAGTTCAAGAAAAATTTTGTTACCTAACCGCAGACATTGGTTCTTTTGAAAACTGTGTATAGAATGGAAATCATAAAATATTTATACAAGATCCTCTAACCAATGAAGATTAAAATGCCATCAAAATATTTTTTATCACAATTTGATTTAATATTGAAATCACTGAGGCAAATACGTATAAAGTCAAGCTAAAAATTTAAATAAAATTTATTTAATTTGAAGTTTTGCAAACACTCAACATAAATTTTCTTAAATAGTGAAACCTTTTTTGATTTCATTACCATATACACTTTACAATCAACTGACTATCACTTACATACCTTAACAAAGTACCATCTTAATCAATAAGGAATAACCACTGTATTTGATGATTCTCATGTTTTGCTTGATTACCTTAATGCAGTTTAGGGATGCCAATCCCGAAATCCCGATCCCGAAAATCCCGGGATTTTTCGGGATTGGCAAATCCCGAATCCCGGGATTTGCAAAATAAATCCCGGGATTTTTTCGGGATTAGGATTTGTTTCAAAAAACTGTTTTTATTTTCTTTTTTTGAGCCATAATTTTCATTAATTTGAAAATTACGATCTTATTTTATTTTTGACTCATGCAAAACAAAATTCCGCAGAGCTAATTTTATACATATTTGAACCTTTTATTTTTTAAAGTGGTATGAGTCCATACACATAGCACATATAAATTTATTTATTCACTTCGTTTTTATACCTTACACCACTTTAGTGGGGAGGGTATATTGGGTTTGTGCTGATGTTTGTTACACACAATAATATTGGTCCTATACCTTAAAGTATACCAATCGGCTCAGAATCATTTTCTGAGTCGATTTAGCTATGTCCTTCCGTCCGTCCGTGTAAACCTTGTAATCAAACTACAGCAATTTTGAAGATAATTCAATGAAATTTTGCATGATCTTCTATTGTACTAGAGACGGATCCTATTAAAAATGGATAACATCGGTCCAATATTTGACCTAGCCCCCATACAACTGAACCCCCCAAATAGGGTTTTTAAGTTCATAATTATGTTCAATATACTCGTCACTCGACAAAAAGCTGCAAAACCAAGTTCTATACTAGCCTTCATGACCCTGATGTATTTTTTGATGATGCGGCCTCATTTGACCCTAGCCCCTATGCAAAGCCCCCTTCGAAATATGACTTAAATGTACACAATTTTATTCAACAAAAAATAGCTAAATTATATCTGAGGCAAGGTACAATTTATAACTGGTGTAGGGTATTATATGGTAGGCTTCGCCCAACTATAACTTTTTACTTGTTAGCACATTGCAATGTTGGTCGTAGACCGACCCAAAAAGTATACACATTCTGTGTCTGTAAGCTGAAAACACGAGTTAGAAGACTCATTCTATTTGGGCTGCAAATTTGGACCAAAATTGACACAAAAAAACCTAATTGGACCTCCTCTGAAAATCACATTGATGCTGATATTAATATCAATACATTACAATATTTTGATGGTGTGTATTTAATTTCGGCACAGTCGAATACAAACTTTATTTTTCAATACTAGAGGATTTTACATTTCTAACTTTCTACAAATCTGAATGATACCGGTAAAGGTAAATTACCTTGTTCTGAATGCACCTAAAATTTTAAATTAATACTACGAATATAATAATATGTTCCAAAACTAATATGTATTTTGAGTAAAATTCCAAATATTTTTCAAAGAATAGGTTCTAAATTGATGTTCGAATAATTGAATTGGTATCTGTTATAATTATTAGTTCACATGGAACAGTAGGAGGTTTTAAAAAGTGCTTATGTCTAATTTCGGAACTTGATATTTATTTTTATTTAGGAAGTAAGTATGTATTTAAAAAGTTTCAGAAATTATGCAATTCTGAAAGTTTTTATTTAAAAATTGGAATTAATTGGATTGTTTTAATTTAAATATATCTTCTGTCTGTTAAATTTCCACAAAATTAAACAATTTTCTTTACAAATATGATGATTTAAAGATTTTCATATATAAAATAATTAAATTCATGTAATCCCGAAATCCCGTAAAATCCCGAAATACCGAAAAATCCCGGGATCCCGAAAAATCCCGGGATCCCGAAATATCCCGGGATCCCGGGATTGCAATTTTCAAAATCCCGAATCCCGGGATTTGTAAAAGCCAGTCCCGTTTGGCATCCCTAATGCAGTTTGAGTTGTTTGTTATTGTAGTTTTCAATTTTCCTCAGAGCTAATTTTAGAATTGGTATTGTTTTAGCACAATGTTCCATCTCAACATTTGGTATGTTAGTTTTAATTGTTGGTATTGTGTTAACATAAAAATATACAAAAATTAATTTCAAGGGAGCTTTCAATAACATTGCGATTGAAGTGATAGAGCTTGGAATCCAAGACTTACTGGTGAACTAGATAGTATTCATGCTTAGAATTATCAATTGAATCCTAAGGGATTACTATGTTAGGAGAAAGGTTATCAAAAGGAACAGCAAAGGGAGGAGTACTATCTCCCATCCTATGGTTATTAGCGATTAACACTATTCTAAGGCAGTTTGAATCCAAATGTAGAAAGATTGTCGTTTATGCGGATGATGTAGTATTACTGGTTAAGGAAAAATTGTTATCCACTATCAGTGATATCATCCAAACTGCATTGGACGAACTCTCATGGTGGGCGTAGGTAAAAGGACTTTCTATAAACTGAACTAGCACACTTTACCAGACGGAACATGGATAGATGACTTTAGGCTTCCTACGTTAGACGGTGTCGTGTAAATCTTATCTAGTGGAGCTAAGTATTTAGCTATCATCCTAGATAATAAATTATCATGGAAGAAAAATACTCAGGAAAAATTGAGGAAGGAGACTCAACGCCTACTAACTACACTTGCAAGAATTTCATTGGCAAGAAATTGGGTTCTGCGGCTTGATATGATAAACTAGATTTAGAAGTGCTTATCTAGACATCACAAAGATGTGCATCACAGGCTCAAAGTAAGGCATCACAGGCACCGTAGGAAGTACAAAGTGATTTGAATATCTTCCAATATCTAATCCCTATAGAACATAATGTAAGGCGCGTAACTGTAAGGATTATGCTAAAGCAATATGAGTTACATTGGTTAAACCTTCGCGTGATAACCACACAAAAATCTTATACGAAATTGATCTATAAGATCAGGATAACATTTCTAGTAGAATTTCAAAACATAAGATAACGATATTAGATATTATATAAGGAAGAATAGAGTAGAACCTTTAAGCTGTTTAAAGGGTATGCAGGATTTAGCGACGTATCCAAGATGTTACCGATGTCTACATTGCTGACATGGACATAAAGAGATCTTTGAGACTCCCTAATGAATGCTACGTTCGCCAAGTAGAAATCCTTAGCGATCTGGAAAGCGACTGAACTGTTACGAATTCATGTACTATATATATATATATATATATATATAGCTGCAATTAGAATATACATATGTTATACGATGCACCTGAGCTTAATAGTAGAAAGTAGATGTGTTCTAGGTGATACTGTAAGGCTTTTTACTGTAAGTATGTGTTGGATACCAGAACACTGCAATGTACAGGGTAATGATGTAGCGGACGAACATGCAACGCAAGGTTCGAACCTTGAACTAAATGTAAGTGACAGAGGGGTTAAATTAGCCATTTGTCACTATTACAGGGTTATTGGTTTGCGTGACAAAAGGTTGATGTAAAGGCTTTGAACTGGTATCATCTCTTATCTTATAAAACACTAAAATATTTGACATTTTTGGTGTATTGTGCTCGGGAGTTGTGTATTATTGGCAAACTTTCTTGATGATATTTAAGACATGTTTTAAAAGCGATATAAATTTCTTCACTTTTAACAGGAAGTTGTAAAAGAAGAATGTAAAACTTTAATATTATGTTCACATTGTTGCAGGTAATAGAGACAATTTAGTAAAGTTGTGAAAATAATATAGGTGGCCTCCGGTAGGTTAGTGGTTAGTGTTCTAGACTGGTAGACCGGAGGTGGTGGGTTCGATTCCCACCTGAGGCACTGGTTAAGGAGCGCACAACAGGCCCGATAGAGGCCTAGGTGTATTTCTTCGGATTTGATGTATATACATTCTCCTTTCAAACTAACTAACTAACTATCACAACTTTTGTTTTTAATTTTCTATCACATTTTGTAAAGGAAATTCTTGTAAGGTCAACTTGACATTCATATATTGAAGTCTTAAAAGATAATTTATTTAATTGAAATTTATTATATGTTTTCAATTACTGAAGAAAAATGCAAGCAACGCTTTTGCTATATCTAAATCAAATTTTTAGGGTTAAACGAGGAAGTTAATATGTATTTTATACGTTTTTGCAATTCTTCTCACGACTACTTACACATGTCATTGATAATGCTGCATTTGTTGTTTGTTCACCATACATGGCACATGTTTCATTATCATTATAGTGCTTGTTTTTGTTGTTCCTCGTGCTTCCGGTCTCCCAGGTGGCCTCAGGGATATGTATTAAGCTTTCTTTAAAATTATTTTCTGTGCATTCATATGAGGCTTATAGTTGTCTAGGTTCGCATTAATAGTCGTATGAAAGTCAGATGTATGATTTTAGACTCACTATATTGTTCCAAGTATAAAAGCTGATAGAAGAAATAAAAGTAAAATTTAAGCACACGTTGAAATTAAAACAAACGATTTTAAAATATGAATTATTTCACAAGATCATTGCCTATAACACAGGCCAACAAATGTTTAACCCAGACACCAAAGCTTTGAAAAGTATACTTCTCTGAAGATTTGAGCCAAAGAATAAACAAGAAGTGAAACGCTGTCATTTTTTTACAACAATAACATTACGCTCTTCTCACAGACGAGTGCTCTGTAAATCCAACACATATGTAAACATTTTATTCTCTCTCCAAACTTCAAAACTTTTTCGCGAAAATTTGAGGATAATAGCACTTGGAAATATTTTTTATCACTTAACATTATATTTTATATTTTTTTGCACAATTTAAACACATTTAATAGCCCGAAAATAATATATTATTTACAAAGGAAAAAAAATATTTTTTGTTTTTTGACATTGAATTTTTGTTGTTTGAAATTAAAACTAAAAAAAACAATGTTGTAAATTTTCGTATGGTAAACGAAAAAGATATTTCAAATAAATAATTTATTTTTTCAATATTATAGATTAAAAAACAAATAGACGTGTTTATAAAATGTTTATAGATAAAATATGTGCAAAATATCTTAAGAAACCTTTCAAAGTATAAATTGAAATGTAATAATTTTTTTTCAATATTTTTCAATACTATTTTTTGCAACTATGTTGACTTGAGAATTCTACTAATACATTCTTAGAGTTAGGTACCGGATGACAGTAGACTTAGGTACTTTTGACAACAGTTTCATTTCTTATTTATTCTTTGGTTTGAGCAAAGCATTCAAATCTGGCCTCAAAATTTCTCCATCACATCAGGTTTTGAAACCAAGAATATAAAGAAATTGGGGCTTGTCAGTTGGTACGCAAAGGAGTTGTCATTCTGTACCTAACTCTAAGTATGTATTGGTAGAATTTTTGTATTAGTATTGGAGCTCCAACCAATTTCACCACACTTTCCAAACATACATACTTGCATAAAATAGTACATAAAAATTTTAGGAAAAATAAATAACATTTAAATTTCTACATTCGCAGATTTTTTAATTTATTTTGCCCACATCTAATCAGTAAACATTTAATAAATATATTTTTCGGAGTTAAAATTTCTTTTTTTGCAAAAAAATTAGTTTATTTTAAATAATTTTTTCATTTTCAATACCAAAATATACAACTTTGTTTTGTCAATTTTAATTTCAACACACAAAAATTAATTGTCAAAAAAATTAAAAATATATTTTTTTAGTTTGTGAAAAATAAAAATATTTCGGGTTGTTAAATGGGATAAAATTGTGTAAAAAATTAAAAAATAGTTATGTGTTTGTGAAAAAACGTCGTTCAAGTCCTATTATCCCGGTATTTTCGCGAAAAAGTTTTGAAGTATTTTGAGAGAATTGAGTTCTCACAAGTGTGTTGAAGAGAAGGGAATGTTATTGTTGTAAAACAATGTCGTAGTCCAACTCATGGTAAAAATAAAGAAGGTAGTGTCATTCTCTCTATATTTTTTAAAATTCTATATCTGACATGCTTAAGGATTTTGACGTTTTCAAGAAAATAGTAATACCATATTAATTTAAATTTTTCCCATATATTTGAAGTTTAAGAAAAAATTTAATACATAATTTTCATTCATTTGGAAAATATTGAAAAATATAAAAACGTTTACTTTTAAATTGGAATTAAAGAGAAGATCTTAATTTTCAAATATTAAAAAGCTAATTTGTGAACATTATTTTAAGAATAACCAAGAATGAGTTGCATTTTCCCCAACTGCGAAAATACCAAATATTTTTGCAAAAATTTAAGCATACATTTTTTTAAAGTCCCTACATTACCCAACAAACGACAACAATGGCTAGATATATGTAAAATTTCCGAAGAAGATTTGCCAAAAGAGCCAATGGTATGCTCCGACCATTTCCTTAAAAGTAATATTTCAGTTAATGCAAAACGTGTAAGATTGGATATATAAATTTATTGTCAGAGGGTGGATTATACAAACCAAACACAAGTTTTTTAAGCCTTTTGGAACGTTTAAATTCAATATTTTTAACATTTAATGAAAATTCTTTGTCAAGTAGCCCAAATTATATGCTAAATTTGTTGCACAAAACTAATGTAAATTTGGACAAAAAAATTGTTAAAAGGTTTTATATTGGGAGAACATATTTTCGAATTCGGTTTTTAAACCGCCATTTAAATGATACAAAATATTTGCATAGTAATAAAAAAATGAAAAAAATTATTACTTAATATACCAATAAAAATAGTCACGTGTTTTAATTACATATAAGAAAGCGATAGTTAGGAGTTGAAAAAATAACTTCCAAAATAACGTAATAGTACATTATTATTTAAATTGTAAATTTTAAATTACACATTTTTTGTAAAAAATTTCTCGAAAATCAAAATCATTTTTAAGAATGTGGCAACGTTTTATATAATGCTCACAAAAAAACTAAACTTCAAAAATCCTTATTTGATAAAAAAATTTTTGATTGACACTACCTTCTTTATTTTTATCATGGTCCAACTTCTTATTATTCTTTGTTTTGAAATATCGTATCATTTCCATTTGTTGATTAGTATGAGCAGTTGTACTCATTTTCGTGTTCATGTTCTTTTGGAGTAACTCTAGTTTTGGTATTAAATCATGTACTGTCCAGTCTCCTGGGTAATTGAATAGTTCATG